ACCACCCTTTGTATGGAAATTTGAATAGATTTATATAAATGTAAATTTTTCATCAATTATAATTTGTGCAGGGGGAAGGAGGAGTGTGCTCTGAAAAGCAACCTTCTCCTGAATACCAGATGAATGAACTAATGAACCGATGTATCGGAACATTCCAAGGAGCCCAGACCTACTGTGGTTACTGCTGGAAAAAAGCTGCACTTTGCACGTAAGAATATATATTTATTAACTCTAATTCTATGGGGTGTTTTCTTTGCATTTTTAAAGATAAAAATATTTTTGTTAATCTAATAGAGGCTTGAAGGGTATAGTTGTGAATCAGGCAAACGGGCATCCCTCTCTGTAAAGGAAAAATTAGTATACGCTGAAAAGCATTTTAGGAGTTGATAGAGACATATATATTTTTAAATGCTTACATTAGAAGACTGAAACCTTTTCACTTTTCAACATAAAAATTGTTAAAAAATTTTGCAAAAAACATTTTTTTGAATGCATAGGGTAGGGTGAAGGATGGGCAAACAGCAGGTCCGTGTAATTTTGTTCAGCATACTTTTTGGACTTTTTTAAAATAATCCATTACACCCATTGAAGTTAGAGGTCTATTTTTTTAATGAGTAGGTCTTGAAAAGTTGGACTATGGGACATGTATCACACTCCCCTATCTCAACTCTAAGGGCAAAATCATAATCACTAGTTAATATTAACTAGTGATACTTAACTATATGAAAAATTATAATTCAACATGTTTTCAAATTCATTTGAGTTTGGAAGTTTAATAAAATTAATTCTGCAATAATTGTAGATTTGTATTTAAAGTGTGAAGATGAGTGGGACAATTCAACTAATGGCACAAAAAGCCCATTTTTGGTCGATTTCTTGTAAATTATCAATATATTTTTTGAATCCAGGAGATATCAAAATGGCTGAACTGCCAGGGTCCAAATTTTTTGTAAAATCGAACACTGAAAAAAATTAAAAGAAGGGGGGCGAAGTATCAAAAAAGCATAGTTTACAGAGTTAAATGGCATGTAATACTAATTTATATCTACAGGAGCAGTGTGTGTGAAGGTGGAAGGGGAATCTGTTCTACAGTATCACCTGGGAAAGGATTTAGTATGGTGGGATCATGCATTGACCCCGAAAGTGGAGTTGTGAGTAGGGAGTGCTCGTGTTGGAGTTCTTTGTGGATTCCTTTTGAGCCAATCCTGAGCTAATCCTTAATCCAAATTATGGAAGTAAAAAGACGAAAAAAATCCAAATTTTTTTTAAAGAAATTCATTTGTGTTTGAAAATTCAATAATAAATAATTCTGCAAATATGTGGACTTGTGTAGAGATTAGGGTTATAATCATTTTTAAACTAGTCATCTTTGAAAAAAATTAAAATTTTTCCAGTAAGGACAGTTTAGGAATGTTGTTTTACTTAATTTTTAAATGAGAAAAATAAAAATTCCCTTTTTTCACTTATTGTAATAGACAACAATTTCACCCCTCTGTAGCCCGTCTGATCCGTTGTATTGTATGATATGCTATGAGATAAGGGTAAATTTGAGCTCACAAAATAAAGCGCAACACGCACTAATAGCGCTAAATTTATTGATCTCCAAAATTGCATGAAAATTTGATATACTATTTACTAATTTAGTTTTAATATTACACTTCTTATCATTCCTTCGACTTCCTATTAAAACATTGTTTGTTTTATATTAAGAAATCTGTCTAGATTCTAATTTATTTGACAAGGATATCTTCCTATTAAAACATTGTTTGCTCTATATTAAGAAATCTGTCTAGATTCTAATTTATTTGACAAGGATATCTTCCTATTAAAACATTGTTTGCTCTATATTAAGAAATCTGTCTAGATTCTAATTTATTTGACAAGGATATCTTCCTATTAAAACATTGTTTGCTCTATATTAAGAAATCTGTCTAGATTCTAATTTATTTGACAAGGATATCTTCCTATTAAAACATTGTTTGCTCTATATTAAGAAATCTGTCTAGATTCTAATTTATTTGACAAGGATATCTTCCTATTAAAACATTGTTTGCTCTATATTAAGAAATCTGTCTAGATTCTAATTTATTTGACAAGGATATCTTCCTATTAAAACATTGTTTGCTCTATATTAAGAAATCTGTCTAGATTCTAATTTATTTGACAAGGATATCTTCCTATTAAAACATTGTTTGCTCTATATTAAGAAATCTGTCTAGATTCTAATTTATTTGACAAGGATATCTTTCAAATGTCTATTATCTCCGCCAATTTTCAACGATGTAAAGAAGGCAGCCCACATTTTCAAAAGCTTATGGGATGTTACAACTTTATTTTGATACACTCTTTGTCATCTATTAACTATCCAAAATCGATTTTCAAGTCGTCTCTTAATCCCATGTTTATTTAGACACCCTAGTTTTAATATTACTTTTATTAAAAGCCCCAATTCCTTGACTTCCAATTTAAACATTAGTTGTTTTATATGTAAGTTTTTTATTCAATAAACTATTCCATCACAGTAGGGTTTAATCACAATAATCTAACTTGGTAACAAAAATAATAAAAATTTAAATTTCGTTGCATACACTTCAATTTTTTAATCTACTAAAATTTTGATGGATAGTTTAGAAGATATCAGATATACTTTGTTGGTTAAATTTAAAGAAAATTATAAATGATGTAATTTTTTATAATTAAAATGTTTTCAAGTATTGCAAGTCTATTTCTCGTCTCTATGGGAATAGACACTAGACAGACACTAGACAGATATAATACACATATAAAAAAGTCTAAATTTAGGTTTTGGTGCACAATTTGTCGTAAAATTTAGTCGAAAAATGCACCCGAATGGCGAATTTGAAATACATGGTTAGCTCTTCATAATATTGGATATGGTTTACAAGACCATTATGATTTCTTAACATGACATCATTCAAGACACTGTAAAATTGCTCTAGGCACCAACGCTCATATGAAGATCGTTCATTTGAAGATTGTAAGATCAACTGCACAAGGATTGTCCTTCGTTATTATCGATCATGCAAAGATTGATCCTTATGAAGAATGACTGCAAGGAGAATGACCAACTGTTTTTTGTTCATCTAACGGTGGAACTTGGTCTGTTGTTTATTTATCAAACGGTGATGCTTCGTCCAGAGTATCCCAAACCATATTGTACAGCTTTCTAAACAAATAGACAAGATTTTTAGGTGAAAATAAATAAATTATTTGATAAAGTATCAGAGATTTAACTTTAATCAGTCATTCTGTACCACCTAGCGAACAGACTTAAAATTTTGGTTATAAAGCTGATTATCGAAATTTAATATTCCCAAAACCCTTTCAATAACTCGTGAACACTCCTATGAAATCCAATTATTAATTACAAACGATATTTACCTAAATAAAATGGATTTTTTGCTCTCTGGTTTACATACATCCATATGGTTGTATGGTACTGCATAGAATTCACCAATCCCTGAATTTAGACAATATTAATCAATCAATCACTTAGTCAATCAATCAATCAATGAATCAATCAACTTATCAAACAACCTAACAAAGCAACTAATCAAGCAACCAACTAAGCAACCAACTAAGCAACNACAACATCCTCAAGTACAACATCCTCAAGTACAACATCTTCAAGTATAACATCTTCAAGTACAACATCCGCAAGTACAACATCTTCAAGTACAACATTCTCAAGTACAACACCTTCAAGTGCAACATCTTCAATTACAACATCCTCAAGTACAACATCTTCAAGTATAACATCCTCAAGTACAACATCTTGAAGTACAACATCCTCAAGTACAACATCTTCAAGTACAACATCCTTAAGTACAACATCCTTATGTACAACATTCTCAAGTACGACATCCTCAAGTACAACATCCTCAAGTACAACATCCTCAAGTACAACATCCTCAAGTACAACATCCTCAAGCACAACAGCCTCAATTACGACAAAAAAAGTTTATTAATGGGAAAATACACATAATCCTCAATTTTCGAATTTAGGATTACACCAAACTGTTCCTGAGAGCCAGAATACTCAAACATTTAAAATATCAGCTTGAATAATAATTAATAGCTGAAGTGTTTGGGGTTGCCAGTGGAATTTAAATAAATCAAAATAAAATTACCCTATGTCACCCCTGGTGTACCCACAGGTTCCATACAAAAATGGTCAATTTGGTCTAGCCATTTGGCCAGCTATAGATAATATATACATATATATGAGTAAAGAGCTTTATTATATAGATTCATAAAAACAAGTTGAAGTAAATTTCATTTTTTTAAAAAGTGCTAATCACTCTGGACTCAGAAAAATCTTTGAGCAATGGCCTTAGCTGTGTTCCTTAACCTAAAAATATGGGAGCTTTATGAGTATTTTAATAAGGCGAAAAGTCTGTTTAAGATCGTGAGTAAGTATAATGTCATCTATCTATAGAAATATTAACAAAATCTGTTTATTTTAAACAGCTAGCTAGTTATATCCAGTTATTCTTTAAAGTAATGCAATTTTTGAAGATTAGAATAAAAAGTAAAAATTCAATTTAATTTAGTATTTCCTTTCAAACACATTGTCAATTGAGAGA